ATGCGCGCACAACAGGTCGTTTCCGGTTATTTTGGGTCCCCCCTCGTACTTACATACAAATCGTGCAACAAAGCCAACATATTTCATTACAAATTTAAAAAACCAATGGCACTCACATTTAGCTCTCCAAACTTTCAACTTCTCTTCTACTGCAGTTCACAATTACTAAATATTTTAGGTTTTCCATAGTCGCCTCCTATTGTCTCATAGGATGTCCTCAGAGCGGGAAGAACTTCTTTCCACCTCACAGGAACTTTGGGGCGCATGTACAAAAGCCGCTATTTGCTTCACTGTTAGTGATTTTTTACTTGGCAGTTCAGTACTTTTACAGGTTAAAATTTCTTCAATTTCACAAATTTGTTCATATCCTGGATTGTTTTAAAGAATGCTGTGTACTTTTTCCTTTACTACTCCACCAACTCTTCCAGGAACCGAATTAAATTTGGAAACAGTGGTTTTGAACACATTTAATGACTGATACAAAGTAGTATTGCTATTGCTTGCCTCCAGTGAGGAAATGGAGGGTGGAAGATGAGAGAAGTGAGCAGATATATAGGAAAGATTAGTTTATAGTTTTGCGTTTTTTTAGTACATTTTGGGCAATCTGAATTGATGCTGCACTTTTGGGATCAAATGTATTCATGACATTCCTAACTGTTTCTAAATGTTCAGTATAATAACTCGCTGCACACGGCCATGGGCCCCAGCGCGTTAAAATTGGTTCAGGCGGAAGTGGAATGCTCGGTGCTACTACTTTAAAGGCTTCTTTTCTGTATGGTGCTTTAACAAATACCTTCTTCACAAAAGACACCAACTTGTCAACAAGTGGAAAATTTGCACGAATTGTTTCTGCAACATGGTGCAACCCATGGGCAAGGTAAGTCAAATGTGTCATATTTGGAAATATAATTTTAAGAGCAGTACCAGCTTTCATCATATAACTTGCAGCATCAATCACAAAGAGCAATACACCCTCATACTGAATGCCATTCGGCCATAGTAAATTCATGGAATTGATAAAAAAATTCAGAAAATGCGGAGCTATTTGTGGTTTCAAATTGCTCTACCACAAGAAGATATGGGGTAGATTGTTCATTCTTATTAAGGGATCCAATTATACAATTTGCAATAAACCATCTCTCACAACCTTGTGTTTCGTCAATTGATACCCACACAAAATTATCTTGAATCTTAACTCTAATGCTTTCAATTCTAAGATTGTAACACTGCTTCACGTAATTTTTGCACACAGTAGATTCATCTGGCAATTTGCACTGTGTATATTTCTCTATGAAGTTTCTCAGGGTAGGATTGGTTAGTTTCCACAGCGAACATCTGTGCTTAAAAAGGCTTCGCATAAATAAAAGGAAAACTGTGAAAAACTTTTATTAGAAAATTCAGTAAGCAATTTTTGAACAGAGCACTTTTTGTGGATTTAATTTTAATATTCTCTTTGTGTACATTAGTGTTCAAATGCTGAAGCACTTGAAAGCGTTTTTCACAACCGTTTTCTCACACGCTCGGCAATAAAGAATTTCGTTATCCGTACTTATCGTCTCTCCTTTGAACTCCCGCTGATACAGCTGTAATTTAGTTCTCTGACTTACTTTCACTTTCGGCATGACTACAGAAAGCTAAACAAACTTAACTACAGACTAGTCACAACTAATGTGAATGGTGCCCAGCTTCAAATGAAGAAGCGTAACGAACCTCATGGAGACTTTGGAAATAAATAAGTGAAGTCCCTTATCGGTCGAATAGAATTAGGTTGATAGTGGCTACATGTGAACGCTTCCGACTAATCTCTTTGCGGCCACTTCGATGGTACATGGATGAGGCAAGTTATGAGTAAAGGGATCGGGGAAGTCCCGTCCTGGGTATTTCATGAGAAACATGAATCATGATGAAATGTTGAGTCAAATAGGCAACACATTCTAATACGGAAAAGAGAAATTGTATACACATGACCATGACTGAAAATTTGAACATAAAATTAAAAAAAATATATATGATAAACATTTTAAAAAGGAAATATGCAGTATAAATAGAGATCTTCGAAAATATGATGCTTATTCATAAAACAGGCAAAATATGCATTTATATGCACCATAAACCATGTCCAAAATTTAAGAAATTAAGTAATTCACACATATATACAAACAAGGATACTTTCTGGTTGCAAGAAAGAAATATGCATTTGCATTAAAATCTGGTCCCTAGTGATTAACAAGACAAACAATGATTTAAACTGAGACTCTCACCTGTGCAGACCTCTCAGGTACTTGCATGCAGCATACACGTACGGCAGCTGGCATATTAGTGCTATGCTTTTACTGACGTACAGTGTATCCTTAGCTGCATCATAGTAGCTCTGTGCCGCCCCCTGTTGGTGAGTTGACAGTTTGAAGTGGCGTGGAAGTGAGCGTGTGTTGTGTGCATCATGCCCCAGCCCAGCTGAGTGACCTCGTCGACCACTGCGACCAACCTGATTGCTCGAGAGCTCTGTGAGATGCATTGCCTGTATGCACATAAGCACAGAAAGTTACATACTCTGAAGAGGGCTGCGCCATAGCTCAAACAGTTAGTTGCTGACTTCTCACTGTGGCGGCCTGGGTTCAATCCCAGGTCTCGTGAAGTGGGATTTGTGGTGGACAAAGTGGCACTGGGGCGGGTTTTTTTCTGAGTACTTTGGTTTGCCCTGCCAATCTTCATTCCACCAAATTCTACATCATCATAATCACCCATGGCAGGCTACAATAGGCTAATCAGTGGCCGCTGTGCTGAGTGGACCCAATTGGACTCTAGCCCCCACTAAGCAAATTAAAAAAAAAAAATTACATAGTCTGAAGAGGGCTGCACATGTCCTTGTGCTACAGTGCATAACGTTCAAATATGAAGGCACAACTAGTAAGATGAAAAAGCTTCACATTTCAGTTCTGAAGCAAACTACATGGGAGTATTTAAATGGAGAAGACCGTACCCATGAAATGCCACCAACACTCTCCCATCCTCTGTTAGAAGGCTTCTGACATTGTATTTTTTCTTTCCAGGTTCAGTGTTGGAAATCTTCTATCACCAACTTATGATCTTACCACCACATGCTGAGTGTTATGTCTTTCATCTTTATATTCTCTGACATCTCTTCCAATAGTTCACATACAGGAACAATAGATGACACACCCTAGCATCTTTCTTTTTTAATTTACATGCCAATGAATGTGTAGGTGGTAGGAGTGCTGCTGGAAGTATAAAGGCTAGGAAAATGTTAAGACCTGTCAATACATGTGGAAGATTGATAATGGAAGAACAATTGGAATTACTTACTAATTAACTTCATACAGAACACTATTACTTGAGAAGCTAACAGTCACTTGGATCTGGGGACATAAAATGTTAATTTTGGGATATAAAAGATAGAAATTATTATCCATTTGTTATCCTGTAAAATATATTTACATTTCCATCAATCTCAGACTAGTTTTGCATATACAGTAACCTTGCTCCAGCACATACCAAGCCTTCATAGCCTCCTAACCACTTCATTACATCCTCAAACCTGTGACAAAAATGTTAGGAATGCATATAATGGTACTAATCCAACAATGCAGAAAGTTGTCTATACACTCAAACCTCTCATTCAGTCCAAAGTGCTATCAGCTTGTGAACATATACACAGTGTACTAAGTACAAGAACAGTTTTTATTGAAAGATTGGTTGGACTGTCTACTAGTGCATTTGTCTCGGTTTTTATTCTTTCGTGCTTCTGATTGTCTGTCGGTTTGTTCATTAGTACACATATTAAATTCCTTCTTGTTACATATTTCTTTAGGACACATGGTAGCATAGTTGGGTGAGGCACTATGCTACAAGCTGGAAAGTTTCGGGTTTGATTCCCGATGAAGTCACTGGATTTTCAATTGAACTAATTCTTCCAGCCGCACTATGGCCCTGGGTTGACCCAGCCTCTAACAGAAATGAGTAGCAGAAATCTTCCTGGGGGTAAAGGGCGGCCAGAACTTAAGGCTGACAACCTCACCACCATCTGTGAGAAAACTGTCTAGAAAATGTGGGAACTTCAATGTTTCACAGCCCTATGGACCTCCCGAGCCTGTTACAGGGATAGCTTTACCTTTTTACATATTTTTTTATAAGTCTTAATAAATGCTTAATCATGTACAAATGAGTTGTGAACCTACTGCTAAGGCAAGTAAAGGTGGTAGAACTGACCCTAACACAAGTTCCAGTGGAGGGCATCTACCATAAGAAAAAGTTTCCAATACCTCAGTGATAAGCAATAAAGAAGAAACAACTACTGGTATTAGAAATGTTAAAACTGAAAATATGGTGCTAGAAGAAGAGAAAATGGTATGAAACCTTCCCTGAACATGGATTTACTTATTCCAATATTGATGACAAGCAGTGCCCACAGTGTTTGATTTGCTCCAAAATATTGGCAACAGAGCTTGTGAAACTGAAGGGGCACATGACTGCAAAGCACACAAATTTCAAGTGTTCTAAGGTGAAACTGAAAAGCTCTGTCAGCAGAAGGTGTTGATGAAACAACACACAGCAGTACCAGAAAAATTTACTGACAGCATCACATGATGCATTATGCTTAATTTCTGAAGCTCAAAAGCCTCACACAACTAGCGAGTCTTTCATCATTGCTGTGCCAATGAAAACAACAGAAATCTGCCATGGGAAGAAGTAAGCTAATAAACTTAAATTCATGCATCGGTCAAATAGCACTGACAGTAAGTGAATAAGGGAAAATTCGTGTTCACATGCATGAATAGCTGTCAGGGAGAATTACAATAAAAAATACCCACATTTGCAATTCAACTAAGCAAATCAAATCAAATCCAATTTAGGGCAACTTATTATGTATGTGCACTACTGCTTTGTGAAGTATGTGCACGAAGGCCTATTGTTTTGTCAGGCACTAAAGGAAGAACTTTGTATTAATCTGTACATTAAGTTGAAGTACTGCATATATCTGGTAAATGTCAAGGATGATATTGTTTTTTTGTTGTTGTCTTTTGTATTGTGTAGCTATAGAATAATTCACTATAAGTCTTATGCTTAGATTATCTTATAGCATACAGAAATCTAGTTGAGGGGGGGTAGGTTAATAGAGCATGTCATACCGATGAGGAGGGGGCATGAGAAACTTCAAGAGCCCCTAGCTTAGATGGACAAGTTGTCCACATTGTATGGAACCCTCATGCTAATTACCATGTTCATAAGAGTTACAACTCATCCCTATCCTGAGCAACGTAAATTACATCCACACTCTCGCACCCTATTTTTAAGACCCACTGAACAGTGTGGTCCAGAGGAAGCATTCCAGATCTGTATTTGAGAAGTTCCCAGTTTGAACATTGGTTGGTTCACCAGCCATCCTGACATTCTTCATGATCTACCTCAGTCCCTACATGCAAATGCTAGAATAGTACCTCATTTAAGCCACACTTACGTCTGTCCAAATCCTTTCCAATTCATCGGTCATCCTACCATCTGATGTAACGTAGTCTCAATACTGACAGAGTCAATAAATAGCTCACCAATAAAAGAAATACTTATGATCCATCTTAGTATTATCTGTGCCTCAGTCCTTCAACTGGCCTCTTACTTTCACATATCTCAAAATTCTGTATGCATTTCCCACCTCCTCCAAATATTCCATGCACCATCTGTTCAATACTCCTTGATCTGTTGGCCCTAATGATATTGAATGAGGGATATGAATTATGGGGACATTCATTACACACTTTCCTTCATCCTGTTGTCACTTTCTCCCCCTTACATCAAAATAATCTCCATAACACTCTCTATCTGCCTTGCACTGCAGCATCCTTTGGTATGTTCCTGTCCATGGTAACAGAAGGTCCAATCTCATTACTGAACATATTCCAGCTGCTATCCTCAGACCCAGGTCACCAACACTTATCTTGTGGGATCTGATGACTTCTAGTTTGGTAGATATTACTCTGAAAGCCTCATATCTAATTTATCTTAATATTATCTATCCATTTCAAGAAATCCAAGTGGTGTTTTCAAACATATTTCCTACCTCTGTCATTTGGACACTTACCTGGAGAGTTTGCATTGCCGAGCAGATTTTTCTGTTGTTAATCTCCTCATAGAATACATAACTGAAGCCATAGCTGCGGTGCCCATCCTCTCGTGTGATGACAAAGCTATGGAACTGTGGCTCCAGGGAGTGTTTCTGGGTGCGGAACTGAAGGCCATGCGGCAGGCATAACTGCACATAAACCTCAGATATAAAGCTAGAACGCCAATGTAACAAAGCTGAATGTAAAAACAAATACTCTAAGATTTCAAACTATGTGAGCCAGTACAGACCAGTGACTATGCTACAATGGTTCATATGCATATAGCGTTACCACTATGACATGCCATACAGATGCCTCCATGATGTGGCAGTTTGGCACAAGGGAAACTTTACATTCACCTTCGGTTGCCATCAAGTGGGTATCACTCCTGCTTTGTATCAGGGAGGTACCAGGTTCACACACAGACCCAGAGACCTTCTGTAAACTTCCTGAGTTCACCCAGGTAAATGATGTGGTACTACCTCAAATCAGACCACAAGCCCTTCCTTCCACATCCTTTTAAAGTCATTAATCACCAATTATCCAATCATTCAACACCATACAATCTGAGCTACTGATAGCATCACTGAGTGAGTACAAAGCATCATCAGAATGATTATTAGCAGGTGAAATAATTCAAGAAACATTTGTCTCTGTTTCCCTCTATCCACCAAAAAGTGGCTCTGAGCTGGAATGGAACTGAAGCTTAATTACTTAGGTCAGAAGTTGGCACATAATCACACATGCCTTGAAATTTAATGTATACGTAAAGGTGTACTTCATCATATATTTTCTACACATAGTTTTATATCTCCCGCTGGTACTGACAGTGGCAGTTGGAGGTGGGGATCACCTGAAAACAGAATACACTTCACTTTGATAACCTAGTAGTGAACTAGGGATTTTGATGAAATCACTTGTGTACAGCCCCAGTACCATATTACATCAACATGTGTTTTAGAGATGCATCATATTGTGGCATGATGGCAGACAATCAAAACAGTGGAACAAGAAGAGGCAGTTGTTGCTAGGCAATAGCATGGTAAACACAACTCTGTGGCAAGAGATAGTAATGCAAAAACAGAAGCATAGCTGGGGTTACAAATGCCCCTCAACATGCACACCCAGAGCGTCCACGGGGTAGAGCATGACTGAAAACCTGAACAGTGAACCAAGATGGGGGGGGGGTCTTTGCTAGGCAACAGTAAGGCAAACACATTTTCATAGCAACAGATAGTCCAACAGTTCTACTGTTGTGGGCCATTGTCCAGCCATAGTTCGCTTCTTTATAGAGCTGTTATCACGCAACGGGCAATGTCTAAGTAATCATGTCACAATATGGTCATGAGATCCTATGGGACCCAAAACCAAGCCTGGAACCAGCAGCAATTTACCCCACATGACCTATAGGAAGTGGACAGTGGCCGCATGACTCCCAGAGTCATGAGAGAGTAAATACAGTCATGTGTTCTGCAGGACTCGGGAACCAAGAATGGCTGTGCTTGTGAGGACCAGCGGCAATTTACCAGATCAAACCAAAGGTAGTGGTCTGAAGGCTCCCAGAGCCACAGTAAAATATGGTCATGAGTCCTGTGGAACTCAGAACCAAGAATTACTGTGTTGGTGAGGGCCAGCAGCAATTTATTGAACTGGGCTGGACAAGTGAGTCAGGCTGAAGTTGCACTGTTAGCAGCCGAAACCTATCCAGGACTAGTGAACAAACACAAGACTTTATGGGTGCAGTAGTTTTAGTTATTTATACTGTGTGCAAATCAGTCATTTGAAATTACAAGTTACAAGCATTAGCTAAATCCAATTATCCATCCAAACTCCATTTATCGTCACTAACATCTGGTACTTTATTTATTAATTAATTTATTTATGGTTTAATTTATGATGCTGTTGATAACTCATATTTCATAGCACTGGATGCTAGGCAGATCAGTGAAAAATTACCTGGAAATGATATGGAAGTGGGTCATGGCCTAATTTGAAGTACTATCCCATGAATTATCTGCTGAGAAAGTGGAAAACCATGAAAACCCATTGTCAGGATAACCTGTCTCTCTGGGGCGAAATCTGAAGCCAGGGCCTCCCAAGCATGAAGCAGTAGCACTCCCCACTCGGTAGTAACATGCGGTCCAATACATTCTTCTGACATACTTGGGGTCACAGTGTCTAACACATAACAGAATGACCCAGCACTAACCATGCCAACTGCATTCTTGTCAAATGGGTTCCAAAGCACAGCGTCTGGGTAGTGTCCCAGCACCTGGCACTTGTATGAACGATCCAGAGGTGTCGACTCCAAGTTGTCACCTGTTGGACATAGTGGCAAACACTGCAGTAACAAAGAGGAAACGATCAACTGACTGCGACACAGGGGAATTAATGTGATAAGACAGCAGTAGATGAACACACTGGATGGTGACCATAAGAGATGTTACCAGGATATAAAACATAAAATCCACCTCAATGTTAGGTAAGAGTTAAGCGAGTCCTAGTTTCTCCTGAACACAGGTTGAACAGTCTTGTTCACATTCTGACAGAGATACAGTCTGTCTTAAGACGCTGTGTCTGCTCATTTTCTGATGGAGGTACTACTATCCTAGGCTCTGTCTGCTTGCTTTCTGATACATATGCTGCCTCAGTCTTACAGGCTGTGTCTGTCCATGTTCAAACATTTTCCTCAGCGCCCTGTTCTCAAACACCCTTAGTCTGTGTTCTTCCCTTAATGTCAGAGACAAAGTTTCGCACCCATACAGAATAATGGGAAAAATGAGTCTTTTTACATTCTAGTTTTTACGTTTTTAGACAACAGATGAGAAGGCAAAGGGTTCTGGACTGAATGGTAGCAAGCATTACCCGAATTCAATCTCCTCCTAATTTCCTCCTGAATCAAATGCTGATCTGTTACTGCCATTCTCAAACATCTGATCTGTGCTACATTTTCAAAGCATTTGTTAGCTATCTTAATGTCATGAATTTGCCCTGCATTCTGGTGATGAGACAGAAACATATACTTAGCTCTCTCTGTGTTTACTTCTAAACAAACCTCCTTACTAGTGCCAATTAAAGTTTATATGTTTTTCTTTAAGGAATCTCTGTTATCTCCCAGTAGATTCACATCATCAGCACAGACCAGCAGCTGATGTGTCCCATTTAATTACAGTCTCCCCTGGTTTTCCTGGACCTTCCTACTGCGTTAACAACCTACATGACCACACTTTCAAATCAAAGAGAATGATGAAGTTTCCACAGTCTAAACAACTATGTATGTCTAGGCTCTGTCCTGAAAAACACTGGTCTCTACTATCCATACAGAAAACCTGAGGCATAATCTTTCATTTTATTTATATACAATTTCATATTTCTCATCTACTGTCTAAAAACATATAATTAAAATATACAAAACTATAGTTTCACCTGTGGTTCTGTATGGGTGTGAAACTTGGTCTCTGACATTAAGGAAGGAACATAGACTGCGGGTGTTTGAGAACAGGGTGTTGAGGAGAATATTCGGACCGAAGAGACATGAAATGATAGGAGGTTCAAGAAAACTGCATAATGAGGAGCTTCATAACTTGTACTCTTCTCCAAGTATAATTAGAATGATCAAGTCAAGGAGGATGAGGTGAGCAGGGCAGGTAGCACGAATGGGGGAGGAGAGGAATGCATATAGGATATTGGCGGGAAAGCCACAAGGAAAGAGACCACTAGGAAAACCAAGACATAGGTGGGTGGACAATATTAAAATGGATCTTAGAGGGATAGGATGGGATGGTATGGATTAGACTGATTTGGCTCAGGATAGGGACCAGTGGAGGGCTCTTGTGAACACAGTTATGAACCTTTGGGTTCTATAAAATATAGGGAAGTTCTTCAGTAGCTGCACAATTGGAAGCTTCTCAAGAAGTGCTCATCTCGGTGAGTGTGTGAGTGACTGATGATTTTATACTCATTACCAGCACTTTTATTAATATTGTATTGTTATTACAGAACTGACGTCTATATTATCTTGCTGTACAATAAAGCTCAATAATTTATGACTTACACCCCAGATTAATTTACCTTCTCTACTGAATGTCAAATAATTTTTAACTTAACAAAATCCAACATTGTACTTCCAGACTCCATGGTATGTGTATGACCTCGCTAATTTATATTCAAAAAGCTGTCCATTCATTGCATTACTGTGAAACGCATCATTTGACAAAAACTGAAGTATATTTATGGCACATCATGTTACTCTTGGGCAGATCAGACGTGACAAAAATTATATGTTTATAAGAAATGAAAATACGTATCTGTTCCAAATTGAGAGTTTGCATGGATACATTAAAGACTGTTACTCAAACATCACGAGGAAACCAAAAATGCTTCGTCTTTTCGTCTTTTACAGGACACAGCTGACAACGTAAACTAAGTGAAAGAAAGGGAAGACACGATTAAAGCAGCCACAAAAATTTGCGTCTTCTTCTTTGACAGCGTCATCCACTAAACTAAATGGAGTATCCTGCATAAATACTGGCTTAATTGCATTTGCTGAGTAACAGTGTTTTTTTATTCAACTGTTAACATGTAAAACAAGTCGAGCAAGCGCAACTCACCAGCAAACCGATCTGGCTCGAGTCCTGAACTCAGATCCAAGCCACAAATTACAAAGTAATCCACGAATCTATCAGTTCCGGAAGAGACTGATATATTCATTCTAAACATAAACACAATCCACCTCACTCAAAAGTACGACACTTGCTCTTACATCGGGAAGCAATCCCACATAAAACCATTTTGTACTTTGCACTGCTTTCCCTTTTGCTCGGGATTACAGCTGACCTGACAGATCGGAATCGGTCGCAATTGAGAATTGACTCTTTAATGAACGCCGATGAATGCGACATCTTTTGAATAAATTCTCAAATATTAAACACAACCAATTCGTATCAGTCGGTATAGCAGGAATCGGTCTTTCAGCAATTGGTCAAGATTATATTACTCTATTGCAACAGGGGTTCATACTTCAATGAAACACGTTTATACTTATTTCTTGTAAACAGTAACATAAACAGTTTTCTGCGTGAATAACTATGGTTTTGAAGCACCTATAAACTCGTTACTACTAAATTTCTGCTCTGGTATTAGATGTTCCATGCCTCAGCTGGGGCAGTTTGTTGCTGGATTCTTACTGCAGACTCCTTTAATTAGTTCGATGGTAGTCCATGTGAGATTTATGGTGGACAAAGCAGCACTGAGTTAGGTTTTCCTCTAAGTACTTTCCCCTTGTCAACTGTTATTCCTCTAATGCTAGATACTCTTATCCAGGACAAGCATTAAGGTCCATTTGGGGCTGCAGTACCAAGGGTCCCGTCTTACCCCATTTCTACAGTTCATTCGAAGAATTGGGTATCCTCCCCTTACAAGCACAGTATAGTTTATCAATTTCTATGTTTATCATAACAAATAGGGAATCATTTAAATTTAACTCCCAAGTATATAAATTTAATACAGATATATTTATGATCAGTACTACCCCCAAAATAACAACACTATTCTAAAAAGGAATGTGTTATATGGGAGTAAAGATCTTCAACAATCTGTTGACTAAAATTAAGTCTATGTTTAACGACATAAAGAGTTTTAAATTTAAGTTGACAACATTCTTATTACAGAATTCCTTTTATGCCACTGAGAAATTTTTTGTGAAACATGACTAGAAATTGGATTAAAACAATAAGATTTTATAATTAAGCCATGTATTAAGATGATAAGAGTGATATATTATACGTGACCCATTGTTGATGTAAGTGCATGTTTTATATTTTGTACATAAATGATTTTTATTGTGAAATGGGTGTACAGTCAGATTTACCTTGTATGATAAATTGTTTTATTATAGTGTTACCTTGAATAGTGAGAGATACATTATATGTGGCCTATCATAGACACATATGCATGTTTTACACTTTGTGACATCCAGTCGGATTTATATTGTATGATTACTATCTTATTATTATTTTGTCATCTAGTATAAATGATGATGGATTCTATATCTATGTACATAGATCTCTGAAAGACATATTAAATATGAATATGAATACAGCTACAACATGTAGGCATATATTTACAAAAATGTTTTATAAGACACTGTGTATTTCATCAATCCTTATAATTTTATGCAAAGCGTTTAAAAAAATTACAAAACGAATCCATAAATATAACTAGGCTTAAAGAAAAGTGAGATAAAACTCATTAAGGCAAATAAAAATGGCCCATTGCAGGCACTTGCGAACACTGTAATTAAGCCTTGGGTTCCAGGCAGACAATTTGAGTAGCTAAGCATCCATAAGCTTCTTAAGACGAATTCTGGACTGCTGCATTTGAAACCCACCCATAACTGAACTTGTACACGCATGATGCACATGACAGCAGTGCCATATGGTACCATGTAAGTTAACATTTAAGCACAGACAAGCATATATGATAGTGAGACACTGTACATAATGGTGTTATGGTGGTGTATTAGCAAACTAAAATGTCAGTTACCAAGAGTGTTTATTAATATTGAACGTGTAGGTGTAGACAGAGCGATCCGCGAGAAAGGGTTTGGGTTTATATGCTTTTGACTCTTTTGATGTCAGTAACGTGAATGTTTCAACCAGAACTTCTTTTCTTCTGCTTTCAGAGTCCGTGATAATATCACTGTGTTTCTTATAATACTGGAATGCAGCAATAATGAGTTTAAAAATCAACATGATTACTGGGATTTCATTGTTGAGAGGTTATGAAATTGAAGTTTTCCCTAGAAAGTGAAGATCGGGTACAGTGAGTCTTATAAACATGGGCCAGACTGAGATGCTCAAGTACAACAGGTCTCACTGTGCTCCACTCGATAAAGTCATCTGCTTTCCTGTATTTCATTTAATACTTCAGTGAGTCAAGCAGTTATTACAAGGAAATGATTGGATGCGAATAATTTGGTACTCAAATGGAAATTACCATGAACTTTAAAATGCTGATAACTGCTATTAACTCATTGTCTGAAAAAGATATGGAAGAATCTGTAAGGTTAGTTGTGCAGAATGGATGAGTATCGTTCTAAACAGTAGCAAGGTAAGACTGCTTGTTATATATGAGTTCTGATACCTTTCTAAGGTGAAAGCCAATTGCCAATGACATTTTTATTCTACTGTTTGCACACAGCTATGTGAAGAAGAAAGGAAATCCTGATACACTAATCATGATGTGCTTGCCATCAGATTTTCACAACAGAAGAAGAAACTTTGTTTGCAGGTTGTGTTACAGTGCCTAAACATAAATTACCCACTTACAACTATAGATTTCTGCTGTCTTGGTTATGAAACAGGAATAAAAAGTAAAGAGTAATATACAAGATACATAGGCTAAAGAAATAGTAGAGTTGGAGTAGTTTTATAGTTTAATGACGTAACCACTCATTAAGATTAAAGAGCTTTATTATTAACAAATACTCCACTGTTTTATGTCGGTAATGGTCCCACCCTTTTGCAAGTGGACTAGCTGCTTTGCACGGCTAAAAGAGGAAGGCAGGAAGGATGTCTGAAACCTTCAGCAGCAGTGCATGTGTACATGATCCCAACCCACTTGCTCATGTGACAATATCATAGGGTTTGATCAAACAATGAAAAAGAAATTAAATAAACGTGCCCTTCCTCGGGATGCTTTACAGTAAAACTCAATCAAACTTCTAAAGAAGCTGAAACTGAATTTGGGCAAAGTGGCTCACATCAAGAATGACGGAGCCCAAACTCGTGACTTCAACCAGCAAAATCAGTTCAACACACCACAGTGAACAAAGTACTCTCCTCAAACAGTCAGACTAGTAAGAAAGCAGGTTCCTAATCTGCCCACGTTGGACTAGAGAGGAAGCAGGGAACCAGTGATACCAACCATTACAGGAAACAATCAGCCATCCCTGTGATAGCATATATGGCAGCATTTCAAGCATGCCATGTCATAGCTTCACTTCTGTGGAATCACTTCATGATCATGTCAGTTTGGAAATGCTGCTATTTTCTGGCCTATATCCATTCTCTGTGAGAGTTAAAGTGATGTGAGCACATGTGGTCTTGTAGAAACATACCAGTGTTTCAGAGGAAACTACTGCCCATCCTCTTTGGCAGGCTACTTTATGCAACATTCACAGAAAACTCTACTCCACCCTCAAGATGGAGGTCACAGACTCCACTGGTACCTTTCTATCAGACAATATGGCAACACATCTCAGAAGACTTGCTTATATGCTCTGTACTTGAAGAATGCCATCTTCTTGGATGTGGTGCCATGTAGATATTGTGATAACCGACATCTCAGAGGAACGTATTGCCTCCATCTTCAGGGTATAATAAATCCGCAAGCGATGAACCAGTGTGAGCAGGTGGCTGCAGAGTGAGTGCCAGTCAAAGACACCCTACTTGTTCACTGATATGAGAGTACATTTAACTTTCTGTGTAAAGATGTGGACAGTAGTGACAAGTGGCTGTTATTTCTCTCGCTGTAACATCATTTTCTTATTTGCAGCCAATTTCCTGAACTAACAATAGTACATATTTATTAGGACCAGTGTCTTGCAAGTGAAGCACCCTGTAAGGCTGCAACATAGCTTGGATGGTAAGACACTGCCCTCTTCCCATGTAGGCCAGTACAGTCCTAGGGAGTCCACATTAGATTTGTGACAGAAAAAAGTGATACTTAGCCAATTATCATTCCACCAATGCTTCATACTCATTTATCATGAAGGGCTGGTAAAATAAGCCTGTTTGGGGCCCCATTACCAAGAGTCTGAGTCTCACTTCAACCCAAGCACACGTGGAGCTTACTTCCAGACTGGGATCAGAAGCTACATTTGTGCCACTCATTCCCTGGTTGTACAACAGGAACAGAGATGCTTGAAATGGAACTGCTTTCTCATTTAGTTTCTGTGCTACTAACAGATTCACCCTCATCATCAATGTCACTGGTACAAACATGCACAGTTTCTTCAAATGGTATCAGCCCTTACCATGCATTTGTTGCCCTACTGCAAAAGTAAATAACTGAGTTAGCCAACCATTGTAATTTCTCAGTGTTAAAACAGCTGCCCCTAACCAAATTTCCAATGGGCCTGCGATCTTACATCACCAAACAATAAAGGGTACTTCCATTTACTTTTATTGACTGTGACGAACAAAAGCAACAAACAGCTGTGCATGATTATGTGCATGCTGCAAGTGTCTGGTATGACCTCCCTGTGCGGCCTCTATAGTATGCCATGTGAATATCTGACTTGAAGTTCATTTTAATGTGATGGTTCTGCATACATATTCAGTCCTCGCCTTGCTGGTAAAGATAGGACTTCACATCTGCAACTTTCCTCAGCTGATCTACGGAGATAGCCTTACAGCACATGGGGCAAGCTTCTCCAGACTCCACAATCCTGTGGTATTGCACACACACACAAAAAAAATAATCAAATCAAGATAGTGTAAGTTTTGAGGTTTTCACGGCGATGACTATGAAGAAAGTCGTCTTCTGGGTTTTGGCGCCAAAACCCAAAGACGACTTTCTTCAAATCAAGATAGTGTTCAAGAAGTCCATATGAGATTTCAGTTATTTGGCAAAATATGGAAACTGTGCAAGGGAAAAGTCAATGCAAATCATGTGTTTACAGTCTCAAGTGTTGTAGTCTTTTAACTAGGATGAATCGTTATGGCTGTACAATCTTTCCATGTCGTTAATAAACAATTACACCTATTTTGCTAGAGTTTGTTTTTCTTATATACCAATCCATATTACAACAAGGTGTAAATTAACAACTAAGTATATCTAGTTTATTTCTTTGTCTTGACTCTTCTATCTTTATTCCTGTTGCTCCCACTTGGAGCATAGGGCATCCAGGAAACACTGTTTCACTTTAGTTTCCTAATCTTAGAACAGTTTGTAGAACTCCTTGGGCAGAGGATCAGCCAGTCACAAGGCCACTAGCTACACAGGACAACATACACACAGAATAAATGCAAATATCCTTGCCTTGAGTGGGATTCGAAGCCACAGTCCCAGAGTTCGAGCAGGTAAAGATATTTCATGTCTTACATCACACAGCCACTGTGATCAACCTTGTCTTGATTACACGTTGTTAAATAAAACCCCAACAATTTTCAATTGTTCAAGACCATCTTCATGGGGTGTACCATATTGGAGTTAAATTTTAGAGTTCATGCATATAAAAATAAAGCATTTAAAATACCCGAATCACAAATTTCTTATTAAAGGTTACAGAATGCATCATGGTTACTGAAAGAGCTGATTTATAGTGTGTCATTCTATGTAGTATGTTGTCTCATATCCAGTTTTCTGGTGTCAAAAAGGTGGAGCTCTGTGGTTTCACTGTGGTCCTTAGCAATTAAAGTACTGAACAAGTTCAATGCTCCATATATCCAGCACAAGAATGAAACTGCAGAGTTCCACTTTGACCAGGGGGAAGGAGCAAAAGTATGAGACAGCACATACATGGCATAAAACACTCTAATCAACAGAATTACTGTAACTATGGCCCATATCTATGAATTTTAACATATTACTTTCAATATTTATAAGAAATTTATGACTCATGATATTTTTATATATATAAACTGTAAAATTTCCCTTTAAAGTGGTACAGCCCCTGAAGATAGTTTTGTACGACCTACACTTGCCAAGGTTTTATCATCATCCCCACCTCTTCCTGCAGGTGCTACAGTCCATGATGAACCCTGGCCTCTTTTATGATTGCCTGCCATTGGTCCCAATCCTGTGAATTTCATCTCCAATCTCTAATGCTCATTGTCTTCAAACCACCCGATAGCAGGTCTGCCTACTCATCAAGTACCCTTGATATGCTCAGATATACTTAGGCGGTAATTTACATCTTACAACTATGCTGCAAAAGTGACATGACAGTGAAAGGGGGATATGTTTCAAGGGTACTGTCACAGATATGTATGTAAGCAATCGAACACTGCATTCATCTTCGTTAGCACTAAAATTTTTTCTTTAGCAGTCAATCCTTTTAGAACTATATGTACCAAATCCTGTAACTTTAAAAACCTCTGTGTATTTATGTGTTTTGTATAATACTGAGAATAAACAGTTTTTATCTTCTTAAACAACATTAACCAGATGATCTCTGTAATGGAGATGCAGTGTGTTTTCTGTCAGACAGGAACAGAATCTTTAAACATTATTTAGATGGTACTCAGAATTCAAAGGGATAACAGAAACTCCATGTGTGTTAACATTTCTTTTGATCACTCTGTTTATTTTAATCTTTTGTCTACTGGAAGAAAGTACGAATACTCACAGCTGAAGTTCGGGCAAGATGGCCGGGAAGTCACAGTTCGGACAGGCAGTGAGATTATCCTTCACAATGTGCTGCCCCTGCAACATAACATATGCAGTACACTCCATTTGTTACTTTTACTTTATGGCTTATAGCTCAGACTGTACAGAACTGAATGGTAGGATTGGTTAGTAATGAGCTGGAAAGGAAGTCATGGCCTGATTTGGTATATTATCTTGACATTTGGCTGGAGAGACAGGAAAGCTTGAAGAGCCTCAGTGGGGACAGCAGAAATGCTACCCACTTCCACACGTATATTAGCATTTGTACTTTTCACTGTCCCTGTGCAACTTTGTCATTGTATTAAAATTCACACTTCAAAAGAACTCATCTCTTCCAATTATTCAAATACTACCCACTTGATTGTAGAAGCCAGGATAGTGTAGTAAGTATGACGACTGGCTATGGGCTGAACAACTGAGGGGCCAGAGTTTTCAGTTCTCTATGCCATCCAGACAGGTTCTGGGGTCCACCAAACCTCCTATCCAATAGGTACTGGGCTCTTTCCCTGGGGGTAAAGCGACCAGGGCGTGAAGCTGACCACTCACTTCCTGCTAGTGCAAAGGTCAAGAAAATGTGGATCTATACATCCACTTCCCCATATGCCTTAATGGCATAGTGCTTAATTAGTTAAGCACAGGGACAACTTTATCTTTGCCTTACCCACCTGACTATTACATGTGGTATACAATCAGCAGCATGTAGCAAATTAACAATACTCCTTTAAACGACAAGTTCTTTATGTTACTGACATCAATGAGAAAAATGCATACAGGTTTTCCCTGGTTTACATATTTATACACTTCTATATTCAAACTATTACTGTGAAAAGACAGAAGGGATAAATTAACTTGACCTGCACATGCTGGGGCACTGACCGTGGCAATGCAGAATGGCACACTGTTCTTGCAATGGACGCAGTTCAGCTCTGTCACGGGCAAAGGCCCATCACAGTACGGGCAGGGCGAGCTTGGCTCCTCCTCCTCATTTGCCGCCGACAGCTTTGAGCCTGGTTTGCGCACCACAGCTTCTATCTTCTTGGAGTACTTTGGGTCCACCTGCAAGCGATATTCTGGACGCATCAGCATGGCAGCATAGCTGAAAGCAGATGCCTTAAGCCCAGCACGACTGCACTCAATCACTGTTGATGTCAGGATGGGCACAACATCTGTGGTCACAGAAATGTACCACTCATGACTGCTGATACTGTTCTTATGCAGGGTCTGACAGGTGCAACACAGATTACATTCACAGGTCTTCAGGAACAATGTTAGAAACCCAGTCTACCAATTGAACAAATCTTAGTTTACTTCACAGCAACAGAAATTTCTCAGGCCATTGACTTATTATGGTGAAGTCTCAAACCTATGTTCAAAGACTCACTGTCTCCATCAGAGTCAATGTCAGCCATCACCCCTAATGACGGAGGCAGAACAAATGTCTGAACCTTTGTCCTTAGCATAATCATGCTGCGGCTGATTTCCCAAGATGATTCTGATGCATTTATTCACCATGAAAGCCTCACATTTTAATTTAACAACACTTTCTTGGCTGCAATTGATAATGTAGTGCCTAATGAAACAATAATGATGAAAATGTTGCTGCAGCCACCACTTGCCTAGGACTCACGAAAACCACAAAAATCTGTCAGGATATCCTGCACATATAACTGATTACATGGAAGCAGTTGTGGCAAACTTGAAGGTATCATATAGGATTTGAGGTACTCAAAGCAGTGGTTACAAAGAGTCCTATAACACCATGTAGTCCATTGAAAGCAAACCAGTGATTCAGAGGAGCATGTCACCTCTATCTTCAGGGTTGAAGAATAAGCCAAGCAAGGAACCAGCAGGAAGCAGGTAGCAAGCAGAGCAATCCACTTGCTGAAGGCTCGAGTTTATACAGGAAAATGGGAGGGAACTGCAGGATGAGTCGTCACTTCCCACTGGCTTGCTTACAGAACAGAGTGAACCAACAGGAGACAAGACAAGGAGAATTAGCAATGGCCCTAAAAAGGACTGCTAGTGCAGATCCTGATAAGATGCCCTCATAAGGGAAGTGGCCTGCAGAGAAACCATCTATAGAATCCTGCGACGGAGGCTTCCCCTGACCTCTTCACCAAATTCAGATACATGGACCACATCATCAGGGAGATGATGGAACTCCATACCAATAATATGAACAGGGAGGAACGCTTTTGCCTAAGTAAGTCATGGAAACCTCTCATCTGTTCCCTGAAAGACTGGAGACCTCCCCCATAGGACTCTACAAATGGGTTCTCCACAGGGCCATACAGGTCTGTACACACTGTCCTTATTGGGGCACAAACTTTTCCCTCTCCAGGCACCCATCTGCTGTAAGCCTTTCCTTCCTGTCCAGGTTTCCTTCTGGAATATTTGCTCTTTCTTTATGCTCATTGCACGCCTACAACCCACACACTCAACTTCTCTCCCATCTTCCTGGGTTCTCTGTCCATCACACCATTACTGCTTTCCGAGATCTGCATTAGTGACCCCTTTCACGGGCAATGCTAGTTATGCCTGTCTTTTGTCTCCTACTGATTCACTGTATTCTGTGACACAGCCAATGGAAACTGGCAAGTTGTCTTGCACATCGATCACTTCACTTTGTAAAGGGAACTGTCAAGTTGTCCTGCAGTGCCCGCTCATTATCCTACATAAACCCAAGCATTCAGCAAGTGGATTGCTCTGCTTGCTAACTGCTTCATGCTGGTTTCTTGCTTGGCTAATTCTTTGACACTGAAGATGGATGCAACATGTTCCTTTGAAACACTGGTTGACTTTCAACACACTACACAATGTTGTATTCCTGAAGATAGGACTCCTGAAGGTATTATCCTGGCAATCACTAGAGAGACCAAGGAAAATCGCCATAAAAATCAGTTGGCATAGCCAGTATCCCCACTGAGACACGAATTCCGTACCTTCCAAATATAAGCTACTGACATGTCAAGAAATTCACTGGCTATACTGAGACTGTCATGGTTTCCCTCAGTCTCTCCAGGAGAACACCAGTACAATACCTCAAATTAGGCCATGACTACCTCCTTCCACATCTTTTCCAATTCATTATTCAGTCATCATACCATTTGACACTATGGCATCTAATCTACTGACAGCCTTGTTAAATAAAAACTTATGTCACACCTTGGAACACGCCCTGAAGGTTCTATTATAGAGTAATAAAGGACATAAGTCAATTTGTATCAGCCACCCTTCATCTCCTGGAAATAAGTGATTTAAAATCCTCCAGCACTTGGGCCTGCCTGCTGGTTTTTAACCAGGGGTATTACTGTGTAAGATTTGAGGTTTTCACGGTGGTGACTATGAAGAATATCGTCTTCTGGGATGTGGTGCCTTGTAGATATTGTGTGAACTGACATTTCAAAGGAGCATATTGCCTCCATGGAGGCACATTACTGTATTACAGTTTGCAGTGAAAAATGCAACTGCCCAGTTGACTGTGGTGCACTTTAACAACAATGCAATGAATGGCCAGTAAAGGTTAACACTTGAGAAATGACAAGTTACTCACGGGATGGAAACTTTGAGATGTTGTTTGCAACCCTGATAAGCATACGTGCACCTTTCAGGTGTTCTCCCTGCCTCACATGCAGGCGCACCAAAATGTACGAGTGCAAAAGCATCAGATTTGAATGCATCTCTGTTGGAATCTTGATGCCATTCCGACGCAGCTCTTGATACATCTCGAACAGAACATCATGGGCATTCCGGTAGTTGCCTGAAACACATTAGGCCAGGATAACTCATGTAAGACAACAGGCATTCTTCACACTGCTGCCAACACGGAGTAAAGCTTCCCTGTTGGTGGAAAGTTGTGATGAGGTTGGTGAGAATGAGTCTCATGGAGTGGGTTTTGTAATATTGTCCATATATTCCTATGCAGCTCAGTGACTTCAGCACTTGATAGCAGAATTAAAAGAAAATGGAAACTTCTTTGAAGAAGGCTCTGTGATACACTTCCCTGACATTCTGAATACTTCCCCTCATAAAAAGTTGTAACCCCCAAGTCAACATATTCATATATCCCACATAACATTACACATTCATGCTCAATATGGCTTCAAGTCTTGTTTCTGTTAGCACATGAAAGATATATGAGAGTTTGTGCTCTGTTTTCTGGACTGCTTAGTTCTGCTCATCCATGGAACCTATCTTGAGGCAGGTTAATTTCTTTACACCTTAGAAAACAACTTCAGTAGTAAACTTCCATACTCTGTGACCAGCCAGGTACTTAATCAGAAATGAAGCCCCAAAACTTAAATATAAGGATGAGATAATGTTCTGACTGGTCTGGTTCTTGACCCTGAATCTGAAGAGGGCTGCACTATACCCCAGTGACAAGGAGAAGACAGTGTCCTCTATTGGGGCGGTAGCAGTTCACTTTTATGCCTTTTGGACTTTACAACACTCCAGCAATGTGCCTGACAGATTCCATCCTGTGGGGTATTATGAAGTCTGCCCAGTTCATTTGAATGATGTAGTCACCGTTGACTGGATGTTCTAGTGGCAATTTGACAACATGTAGATGTTCTAGAGATTCTGAGACACCTATCTCCAATTGAACCCCAAAAGTTCTTCACTGTCCCAGATAGAGGTGCAGTACCTTATAACACCGAAAGGCGTGATTATAGACTCAAGAGAAGCTGAAGGCTGTATGGGTGTGGCCGTTGCAAAAGACAAACGTGAGTTGAGGCGCTTCCTTGGTCTGTGTCCCTACTACAGGAGGTTCATAGCTGGGTCCATGGACATTGTCAAGCCACTGACCCAGGTCACGGAAGACAGGCTCACTTTTTAACGATCTCCAGAAGTGGAAGCATGAACCTTCTGATCCCTAAAGAAGTTACTGTGTACAGCACCTGTACTAGAATAACCCAGCTGACTAAGAAGGGTCCTGAAGTACAGAAAAGCCAGAAGCATATAGCAGCTCACCATCTGGACCCTAGCCAAGGCTAAGAAGAACTACTGTGTTACTAGCTATTGTAAAGATGCTGGGACACTTCCACAAATATCTTTGTGGACAAGAATTCCACTTGTGTACTGACCACTCTGGCCTGACATGGCTCCTTAGTTTCAAGAACATGGAAGGATAGAAGGCCCACAGGATCCAATGTCTACAAGACTACATGTTTACATCTGAACACTGTCAGATGCAGCAGCACACTAATGTGGAGGAGTTCTCTAGAAGATGGTGCCCAGAGGCATGCACTCACTGTCAGTAAGTTGAACAACAGTTAGGTGGGTTAGAGGTGTGTGTCACTGCTGCTGCCACTGTTGATGGCGGGAACTTAGCTGTCGTGAGAAGGATGCAGTTGGATGACAATGACATGGGGCTGATTCTATAGGAAGTGCAGGAAGCATAGCATCCCGAACAGAAGGATATTTCTGACCACTGTCACACCTACAGGGGTTACTGGGCTTATTGCAAGTCCCTGATGGTCTGAAATGACGTATGAGGTAGTCAGGCACCTCAGCCATTCTACATGACACAGAGAAAAGAAAAACTGTGCATGTCAAAACCAGGATGATTATGACATCATCATCATCTAATGCAACTCCATTACAGCACCAATTCATGAAAACCTATATTTAAAATGTCTATTTCAATACAACCTTCCTTTCTCCAAATCTGCAACAGTTAGAGAGTTGTGCTTCATCAGAATATGTCAGATTTGATTTGACAGCATGTCATAAAAATCTGGTGCACAACTGACAGAGATAGTGAACATTATAATATATTAACGTCAGTACCGTTGATCTGCTCCTGACTGGCGACAATGATGGCCGTTTTGGCAGCTTCCCGGTATTGGTGCCGCGCCATGTACAGTCGAAATAAGAACTTTGGGTCCTGTAACAGAAATGTATGATATGCCATCTCAGTCAGCAGCAGTGTACAAAATACAGTAGGTACATCCGAGTTAGTATAGTAAACCTTCACTAATCCAGTTACAGTTAATCTGGATGTCAGATAATCCGAATCGAAGTATGAAAAATTAAAAATTCTGTTTACAGTTGAGTACATACTTTAAAAGACACAGTGCATTGTAACCATTCATCATAATTTTGTGGACTCCTGTATTAATTAAATTTATATTAAGTTAAGATCATGTAATATACAAACAGAGATCTGGCAGATAGCCAACTTTTTACACTCAGAAGTGACATAGTTCAAGTTTTGCTATGTGGACAGGAAGTAACATCTGGTACATTTCCTGGAATTCTGGAACTTTCATCAAAGTTGGAAAGTCTTTGAGAATTTGAGAGCTGACACCTTGGAATAGCTATAACTTAGAAGTGGGAGGGCCGGAGCCTCATCCCCTGATCATAATGCATAAAGTCTCTGTCAACCTTAGCGTCAAGTCAGCAACTGCCAGAATCACACAGCAAAGCAACATGACTGGAAATTCACAAATTTAGGGAACCTCCTAGTTTTCAAACTAAACCAATGGCACATGATGGAGGAGTGGATTTCTCTTGGAGTCTGGTTCATGGACCTCAGGGTTCGGAGGGAGATGATTCTACCTCAGGCAGTCTACATTCAACTTTTGGCCAAGTCAGACACAAAAACACAACTACGTCACTTCACTAGAAGTATTACAAGTCCAATCCAAATAAGTGTAACTATTTGAGTTTACACTGTGTTCAGTGAACTGAAGTTAATTAAATAATTCCTGAAGCGCAAAAGTCTTGAAGTGTACGTGATTGTAGCATAAGGATCTTCTTGCTTGAGCCAGGCCTGTATGACCCTAGATGAGAACTCACCTCTATCCATTACAGAGTCGAACCCAACTCCCTAGGACTTTACCTACTTGCGAGACATCTAATAATCATACAAGTAAAGGAACTTATAGGTGCCGTAAAGTTTGGCAAAAGACCGTCTCGAGTGGTGACCAACGTGTGGTGTAAGTTGTCCACGAAGAAAAGGCAGCCACGAGTGTCAACCAACGTAGGGGTAAAAGGTTGGTGATAAGTGGAGCACAACTTACAGCTGGAGGAGAAAAAGAGCGGTTACAGCAGTTAGGAAGGTAGAAGGCGCTGTTGTACTGGCCACATAGACCTGTCAAATGTCCACTTTGATTATCCTGTGGTTGCTGATTAGAGCTCCTGACACAATTTTAACAGACTAGTCAATATGGATGTCTCCTAAGTGCATGTTTTGAATAGAAACCTTGAAAATCTTCATACACCAAGTCACATTCCACAACAAATACTAACTTCATTTTGCATATCCACATCAGAAAATATCAGTACTCATATAACAGACACAAGATATTGAAACAAATGACTACTCACCCATTCATGACATTCAACGAGTTAATGCTCAACGATCCATTGCTATGGTAACCCCAAATTGTTATTTAAGAGCTTTCATGCATCATTATCAAACTCTGTTATATATAGAGATATACTGGGCATGTGGTAGCGTAGTTGGTCGAGACACTATGCTACGAGCTGGAAGGTTGCAGGTTCGAATCCCAATGAGGCCACTGGATTTTTCATTTAACCTAATCCTTCCAGCCACACTATGGCCTTGGGGTCAACTCAGCCTCTGACAGAAATGAGTACCAGGAATCTTCCTGGGGGTAAAAGGCTGCCAGCATGTAAGGATGACAATCTTACTGCCATCTGTAAACTAACTGCCTAGAAAAATGTGAGAGCCTTGACATCTCGCAACCCTGTGAGTCTCCACGGCCTGTTCAGGGATAGCTTTAACAGAAAACACCAAAGTTAAGAATGAGAAGAACTGTACCTTCACTCCCAAGTGAAGTATCATTCCAGTTGAACATTAACTGGAGTTAATATCTCATTGGGTTATGTATGTTGCTCCCACTAACAACTGACTCTATCAGTTCAAACATTTCCTCTACATATATATAGACCTCCTGAAATATAACATTCATGCTGTGTGAAGTTCAATGAAAATCAGTCAGCTTGCACACAAACAGTTTTCAGACAACTTGTCACAAAAATGTTTGAGAAATATTCTGAGCAAAGAATCCCACAAGAAAAAGGGATAAAAACATCAATTATTTTCTGTGGATTAAGAAGTATTTTTTTCTGTCTGCTGTTGAGAAACTGCTGCTAAGTAAGTCTCAGTGATGTGTTTGCTGTTCTCACTGTACTCACTTTGGGAATGCCATCCGCCTCACCCAACAGGAACTCTATGAGCTGACTGGCCAAATGATCGTCACTGGCAACAGCCACAACTTCAATAGCCAACGAGATGACTTTTGGATCCTCCGAGTTTGCTTTCAATACTTGCATGAGATGCTTCAGTGCCTGCAACACAATATTCCTGCTGACAGACTGTTTAGTGGCACCATACCAACTACTCAGACTTATGAAATAGCCTCACCTTACTGTAGTCCCCTGCATGGTAGTAGTATTTGCCAGCCAGCATACTGTTGTTTTCCCCTTCAAAGTGCAGAGCGAGGCTGTTGAAGTCTTGTGGCTTCACATCTGCCTCTAATGAGTCTGTCAGTACCTCACCATACAGCTCCATCTGGTGATGCTGCCTTGCCAGCTGGAATGCCTCATCATGACAGCGAGACAGAACCAAGAACCGAATGGCAGAGCGGTAGTCACCGAGCCTCTGGAAGAACCTGCAGCACAATATGCCATGTAGTTGCCTCAGTGCCCTTGTGCACAGAAGGGTTAATGGATACTTTCAAAACCATTTTCTTCTAATACTGTAAAACTTATCTATGTGCTCAGCCTGCGCCATAGTTCAAGCGGTTAGTCACTGGCTTCCCACCGTGGCGGCCCGGGTTTGATCCCGGGTCTGGTCAAGTGGGATTTGTGGTGGACAAAGTGGCGCTGGGGTGGGATTTCTCCGAGTACTTCAGTTTCCCCTGCCAATCTTCATTCCACCAAATTCTCCATCATCATAATCACTCGGGGCAGGCTACAATAGGCCAATCAGTGGCCGCCATGCCAAGTGGACCCATTTGGACTCCACCCCCCCACTAAGCGAATTTAATTTTTTTTATCTGTGTGCTCCCTTTATAACAGTGCACTCCACCAAAATTTTGTATGCATTTCTCGTTTCATCAGGCTATCCTTTATGTCCATAGGACAGTACTTCATGTTCTAATCTAAAATGCCATGAGAACAAATCATTTAAAGTCAAGAATAATGTCATCTGGGGTGTGACATCATATACTCTGAACTGGGTACCGATGATTCAGAGGAACCTGATGCCTTCATCTTCAGGATAGAGAAAATGAGCTATTTACCCTAATGATGAAGGCAGTTGGACACTCTGAAACATTGGTACCCATCCACCAGACTATACGGCGTCACTCCTGAGACAACAGTAATCATCATACTGATCACCATGAGAATCTCAAATTTCATTAAACACCCGAAGAGAAGAAAATAACAATGTCAGATTGAAATTTTACATATTGCGATAGGAATGTCAGGGATTCTGAGTGATGAACAGATGAACTTGCCTTGCCACCATCTTGGCACCTTCTATGCTTTTGGTCTCCTGAACCACATGCACTGCCTCCTCTGGGTTGTTCAGGTGGTCCAGGTTCAGGCGCACGACACTGTCCATGTCACGTGCCATCTCATATGCTTTCAGTGCCTCCTGGTACTTCCCATCTGCCTCCTTGGCCTTGTCAGACAAGGTGCATGAGCCAATTAGTACACATGCAAATGCTTTAAATAGATGTGACTATTGTTTTGGATGCTGACTATTAACTTGAACATTTGCAAACGCGGCACATCAGAAACTATTCCTAGCCATATCAGATTGAGAATGTAAACAGAATCTGAAGAAACTCAGGACACTGGACAATGTCAAAATCAACACATCACATTTCTTGTAGCACACATTTATCAGAAACAACTAGACTTATATAAATGATCCCATCATCTGATTCTTATGCATGTGAGAAACATGGGTGAGTATCAGACCCCAGCACTGAAATGTATTCAATTTGTTGTGCATCCCTATTCTAGGATTTAGCAATCCAGTAGTCCTGTATATCAAATGAGGCATAGTACATTGCTTAATGGTCCCTTACAAGGTGTGACAAATAAGAGACTGGCAACATTGTGAAGCGTAAGTAATTCTGTAGTCACTGACGAATGCTGTCACCTATAGGTATATGTCTGAAGTCTATAAAATCATTAAATTGTCTCAATATGTCTTGGGAGTGGAAAGCAGCCTTGCTTTAAATGAAGCAATATTTCAATAGCTTGTCATGGAAAATTAATGATAAATAATCTGAACAAAGAATCAAAATTAAATTTTTGTTCAAACTTGGAAAGGAAATCAACCGAAACCTCTGAAATATTAAGTCAAATTTATGGGGAAGCAGGCATGTCAAAAGAATGTGTTTTAGAATGGTGTTAATGATCTTCCATATGAAGGGACCAAGTTGAGCTTGACAGCTGACCTGGATATCTGATGCAGAATGATCAATATCTTACAGTGAGAATGACTGAAAAAGATCTGAACATCAAAAGAAACCCTGTACAACTGATACTGATGGAAAATTTCAGGCTGAAGCAAATTTGTGAAGATGGTGACCAAGAACATCACTAACAACCAACTGTAGCGGAGAAGGGTAGTATGAACTGATCTTTTCCACTGAAGCAGAAATGATGATTGGATGAAAGCTGGGGGTTTCAGTGTGACAAAGTGGTAGAGCATGTGATGGAAATCTTGGGCTCACCTCATCCCAAGAAAGTGCAGATGTCAAAGTCAAAGTCAAAGTCAAGGCAATGTTCATGTTCAATGATTCAGTTCAACTGTGTAGACTGAGTTCCATACTGCAAGTCACAGGCCAAGAAATATGTGTTTTCCTTGGAACCATGTTTTACGGTATTTTCTGCAGATCTTTCTGACACACACAAAGGAACAAACTGGAACAAACCAGTGAATGACCCTATCCATGCTGACAACTATCATGTTATAAGTTTCATTTATCTCAGTGAGGTATGAACTCATCTCTGCCATCTACCACACATTTTGTACTATCTTCCAACATGTAAATACTGCACAAAAATAATGGTCTTCTTAGATGTAACGCCATGTAGTCTGTTATTTAATGGAAACTCACTGACTCTTCCACACTAGTAACAAAGGAAGCACATTCCTCTGAAACAATAGTGCGTCTCTGGCATCACATTCCAAAAGAATGTAATCTTAAGAGAATGTTTTTACCAATATGGCGGTTGTGATGATGGTCTCATGGCCATTAACACATTCCAAACCCTTCTCTTTTCAACCTCACTCCTGAGGGTCATATATTAAATTGTGCAAAAAAAATAAAACTCTTGCCATCAGTGGTTCCTATACAAGAACTATAAGAATTAATGAGGAATGCAAATGGCAAAGATACTGTGACATGATAGCTGAAAGCCAGGACAGCACAACAACAACAACAACAACAACAAAAAAAAGATGACCGTTGCTAGGAAACAGTGCAGTAAACAAACTTCTTTGCCAACAAATAAATGTAATGATGTGCAGCGGCATGGAGACTGCTGGGACTTGCAAGTACAACTTCAGGAATGGAAGTGGCCACACAGCAGTATAATGGGAGCACAGACTCACCTTGGCATACTGCAGATGAATCTTGGGCGAGGTGACATTAGGGAGTACATCTCCAACTTTCTCCCAGTTCTTGAGCCGGATATAAGCTGATGCAGCTTTATCATAGAACAGTCCACTCTCATACAACATGGCTGCATCATTCAGGTGCTGCTTCAAACACATCAACACAATGGCTAGACAGGTCAATTTATGGTCTAAGAAAAGTGGACGTCATTATGGCTGAAAATTGACAAATTTTAAAGAAATCCTATGATACTGAATTTTGGAAATATCTGTCCATCAGTTCAGGCTGAGAGGACTGCAAACTTACATTCACACTCAATAAAAGTTTGTACACTTTCAACAAAGCCTCTCTCCATGTCAGTCAATTCAACATAATTAAAAGTTATCATTAGTAATGTTCTAATGTTGCAATATCAGTTAACCTTCAATGAATGGCACTAGGGGCAGGAGCTCTGACTAGCAATGGCTTTACTGCTGAGAACTCCTATCCCTGAAACTCTTACACTACAAAATATCCTATTTAATTAAATATGTTTGACAGAAAACGTCTTGTTACTATTATTAGCTTTCTGCTGTTACTAAGCAGTGCTGCTATCTAGGTGCACACTATGAACATTTTTCAGGAAGGTGGACACTGGAATACTTCCAATACAGTTATTGCTGTCAACTTTTGCTTCTGCTCGTAACACTTGCGAACACATATAATGACAGAACCGTAAGCATTAGACTTTAATAAAGAAAGGACAATATGAAAAGGTTGTGGTCACTAACGTCTGTGTTCGAAACTTCCGGTAGCTAGCTTCCCTGTGCTCTCAGCTGCAAACAACATTTTCATCTTCTGTGTTTCCTCTGTCTTGTTCACATGCTGCTATTGTGGAGTTGAGAAGACAAGTACGAATCATGAATTGACAGCAAGTTTATGTACAATTAAAGTGAGTGGAACCCAATCCCTGAAGAACAGCCACACAGTCAGGAGAGCACAACATAAGTCTATATACAGCAGAAATAGCTGCACTACATAAAAGATATGAGGGAAAACATGAAAAATGAAACAAAAGTAATAAAATGGATTACATTCCATTAGTGTGCAGTGCATTAGGATTCCTCACATAAGTGTTGCCTGAAGATGGCCTAAACATGTATATGTAGCATTGTAGTAGTGCATATGTGCTTTAATATTTTAACAATTTTATATAACATCTTATGCACATGAAAACTGCTGTGCAATACTGAAATGTGAATCAATGTTATTGATTACTGCATTATTGATGGAACAGTTGACAGACTATATGTTGAGAGGATTCAATTCAGGTGGGCATGCACACCAGGAAACTGGAATTTCTCCATAACCACTCCTGAGTCCAGGATAATTTTTGGACAGCCACCGTTGCACTTAATGACCATAACATGGTGGAGCACCATCATGTTGAAACCAAACATGAAGAAATGTACTGAAGGACACGTCTTCTAACAGTCCACTTAAGTGTTAAGAAAATTAAGGTAATCATGAACAGTAACTCAAGCCAGTACATTATAAGGGCCTATGAGGCACTCGTCTAGAAATAAATCCCACAAGTTGATGGAAAAATGTCACTGCTGATGGCGAGGTCAAATAAACTGAATGTGGATTTTCACCCAACCAGATATTCGTTGTAGACGTTGGTGATCCTAGCCTTTGTTAAGCACAATTTGTCCAGAATCGAACCTCTGCTGTAAATGCATTGTCCTCAGCTGACTGCTGCAGAATCCACTGACTAAATATATGTCCTGCATGCGCATTGTGTGATACTACCTCTTGCACAGGATGAATGTCATAGTGATACAACAGCTGTTCTCGTAACGTACAGCTTGCGAAAGCATGGCAGTAACTGTATGAGCTGCAAGACATACGGTACTGACAGCAGAGGCTGCCTTTCAAAGATCTTGAAGATCTGCTCTTCATTTCATGCATTATGCACAGAACTCGGAGAGCCAACATCCCATCGCAGCCTGTGAGAAATGTTCCTGTCTCTCACATTCAGTGATCAACAGAAAGGAAAGTACAATGATATGGCACTCTCTGATTATGTAGCTTTCTCTGCTTCTTCTAACAGCATCTGCAACATTTCTTATGCACTCTTCTACCACAAGTTGCACGTCCACTAATTCTGTAAGTGAACAGTCACATTCCATGCTGGATTGCTATGTAACATGCTTTCACAAGCTTAGATGGCTTCAGACTGACTCAGAATGTAATACGAGGGGGTACCCAAAAGAAACCGAACTTATTTTTTTTTAAACTTATTTATTCAAATTTTAAGCACAAACCTTCAATCCCCTTCAAAGTACTCTCCACTTACACTAATATACTTGTCTAGTCTTTTATTCCATTTTTCAAAACATTGTCTAAATTCATCTTTTGAGATGCTTGACAGCGTCTCCGTCGTTTTTCTCCTTCACCTCAGCAACATCAGCAAAACGCTGAAAAAAAGTTTTGATCATTTCGGGACTCTTCTTTCAAAGCACAGCATGCTTCCACGCGACCTTGTTTTTGTTCAGCAGTCAGCAGTCGTGGCACAAATTTCGCAGCCACCCTTCTCACTCTCAAATCTTCTGTCAAAATTTGCTGAACTGAGCTCCAAGTCACTCCCGACAGCTCCACAATTTCTTCAATGGTCCGTCATCGATCTTCCTTGATGACTTCACGAATTTTTTCAACATTTTCATGTGTTCGGGCCATTGCCAAAACAACGATCACACAAAACAGTTGTCACTATAAAATCTGCCGAAACTAGTCCTTACCTTCTGAAGCAACGGTAGTCGGCTTATCGACTCAGGAATGTTAGCTCTATGCGTTCATAGCGGCAAAATACGGTACTACAAAAGCTCTGCCCACAAAAAAATTAGTTCGGTTTCTTTTGGGTACCCCATCGTATGTACTAGTTTTTATTTAGGATTTGAGGTTCTCACAGTGACGGTTATGAAGAGTACTAACTTCTGGGATATAACACCTTACAGTCTACATTAGAGAATTACATATTCATAGAAAGACCTGGGTACTGTAAACATCTACAGAGATTGGCATCAAATTGATTGCTATCAACACCCAGTAACACAAACAATATGCTCTCAGTACGTTTGTTTTTTGAAATGTAACTTCTTAAGGCCCTCAAGGTACATATTCACATGAACTTCTCTACCTTATTCCAAACTTCAGAAGCAATCCTGTAGGATACAGAATATAATGATGCTGCATCTGTATATTATGAAACACTACAGTAGTGCTTTAAATTCAAGGAAGCTAAAAGTTTGAGGTTTGTATATTTCATGAATTCATGTGCACTTTTACTACTGCTAATTTAAGTACTCATTTTAGCTCCCCACTCCACTGTCAATTCCTGACTAACCTTCATGCTCTCCAGAATGTCAGCACATTCCCGCTTCAGCTGGCGACTGCTGGATGTATCTGCGGCAATGGACACACCGCGGCGAATATCCCCACAGCGAATTGCAGTGCGAGCCACCCCTGCTCGACACTGCATGTTGTGAGTCTCCTCATCAGGGTGCGGCTTCTTGCCCTCAGTGGTATGTGCCTCCAGTAACCCACGCTCATAGTGGCTCAAAGCCTCAGCATAGTTTCCTCTGTAAAATTCAAGCCCAAAAAAAAGTCCTCTGTCTTCCTTACCTGAGCTGAGTCACATCAAATTTTATCTGTGAAGTATGAACATTCCATATCTTTATAGGATTCCCCTTACCCTGGTATGCTACAAGCACCCAATGAGCTATCTGAATTACCCTCTTGTTCTACCTCAGCAGTTAAAATAGTTTGCCTGAAACCATTCTATAAGTCCAACCGATCATCACCTATAAACCATCCTGAAGAGTCCTAATAGGCAGCTACAACTTATTTAATTTGTGCTTGAAGACAGCTCTAAGGACAGTTACAATGTGACTGCACAAAACAGGAACAATATCAGGCAACAGTGAGGTGCCAGATGCATACAGTCACCAGCTGAGGACAATCCATACCCAGCAAAGGAATGAGGCCAGCATGTCATATAAAGGACAGGCCAAGATGGACAGAACCGCAACCTACTGTTCAGCAGTCCAACAAATCAACTCCATGGATCAACATTCAACAGGAACTTTATAAAGGCTAGTCCAGTGAAATACCATGGCCAACTGCAACCCTCATAACACACTTATTGGAAAGCATAAATATGGTAGGGGAGTTAGGAGCACTGGTTGTGTGGCAACAGAAATTGTGAGGAAGAGCAAGCCCAAGCTCTTGTTGCAACAGAAGAGCTTTCTGGTCATTACACAGCTACTTTGGAACTACCAGTCGCTTTGAACACGTTTCAGTCTTGCATATTATCAATTGTTTAAACTACTTAAAAAGTTTTATAGTTCATGTGCAAAATCAATTTCTTATGACTGGTTTCAGAAGTATATGTAGCTACTTCATCTACAGAAATGGTGAAAAGTAAAAAAGTAAAGGTATCGCTGTAACAGGCCGTGGAGGCCCATAAGATTGTGAGATGTTGACGTTCCCACATTTTCTAGACAGTCGGCACATAGATGGTGGCAAGGTTGTCAGCCCTATGCACTGGCCTCCCTTTACCCCCAAGAATATTCCATGAATATTCCTGGTACTCATTTCTGTTAAGAGGTTCAGTTGACCCCAGGGCCATCGTGCGGCCAGAAGGATTAGGTCAATTGCAAAAAATCCAATGACCTCATCAGGACTTGAACCTGTGACCTTCCAGCTTGTAGCATAGTGCCACAACCAACTACACTACAAAGTGCCCCCTACAGAAATGGTACATACAGGAAATATGACACACTATCTGTTGTTTGAAATGATAATAGGCTATGCAAAAAATGTGGTCACCAAGTGTGCGAGACCTCTTGCTACATGCAAAATGTGCCACAACTGAATATTTCATGGAGAAATACCTGCTCTCACTGCTGATGCAACTACTACTCTACTACTATTTCTGCTAATATTATCATAAGGAACCTGTATGCTTCCAACCGATCTCTCCAACTTTTATTCAGCTGTCCAGTCAATCCAGTACACAGTAAACCCTCACTAATCTGCTTACAGTTAATCTGGATCAAATTATGAAAAATTAAAAAATTCTGTTCACAATTGAGTAAGCACATTAAAAGGCACATGGGATTCAAGAGCAAGAGGACTTTCAGGCTGCACTGAGGGCAGCTGGAGAGACTGAAACCACACCAGAAAATACCCAAGACTGACTTGGGTTAAATGAAGGAGACCCTGGATTTGAGTTTACTGTCTTTTTACAGTTACTTAAATAAAGGATTTACAGTGAAATTTTTTTAATTTATATTCAACAGCATTACCTGTATTATTAAAATTTACATTTATTTGTTTTTGAAGTTATGTTTCATCATTTAGGGTTATCTTTTACTTCATTAATCTGGATTTTCAGTTAATCCAGATGACCTCTCCCTCCAATTAATTCGGATTAGCGAGGGTTATTTTCTCATTCTCATGTCCATTCCATCCTCCTTGTGTATTCATACATGTCCCACTGCGTGACAAACTTATTAACTGACAGATTTTCATACACTGCAAGGTCGATCTGCTTAGAAGTGTCAGATTATGACTGACTGACTAACTATGATGCAGCACCTGTCCAGGAACTATTTTATAAAGTGTACAACGTAATGTATAACTTCCAATAACATGATAACTACTAATGACAAGGAAGCCAAAACACACAGGGAAATAATAGATTTCATTGTTGTATCAAATGATTTTTAATAAATTAATATACATACAACAAACTCACATGAGACTAAATCAAGCAACAGACAACTTAAATTTACTTGGTAACTTCATAAATGTGTGGTATATTCCCACTTACAATTTTTTTGTGGGGGAAAGTGCAGGGTAAAAAGAAAATTCAAATCATTGTACTGGCAATTATATGAAGTGACGCTGGAGGATCAGTTAGACCTGTACTGTACATGCAAGCAGTGTTTATGTGCAAATGCCAATTATATGGTGGGCCATTCAACTCACATGAACTCAAGCTGCTGGGCATACTCGCGTGCAATGTATGGGACTTGTTCAGGTGCCAGCTTCGCTGCCAACTGAAGGGCTTGGTCCCAGTGCAGCAGATCCTGCCTCATGTGCAGTGCAGCTACGGGCTGACTTGACTTGAGGTACCAGTCCTGCCACCACAAGCAACATACATCACAAGGCCTCAGAAGGCCAGACTGACAGAGACATGTCTCTAACTTGGAACATAAAAAACATATTTTATACCCAATCTATACACATGTTGTAACCTACAGTTTAACTTAACTATTAGACCTGTAAAAACATGGTGGTTACAATATGTACTACCCACTTCAACAATAAAGCACTATCTTTTGCCCCTAGAGTGTGTCTGTGTGTTTCATTTGATTCAAAACTTAAGAGAAATAAAAATACACCTGTAAACTGACTAGTAAGAATACAAACAGAGATCTCTGGAAGCCAAGACGTTACCAGAGGGGACAGGCTTTTAGATTAAACTGTGACACTTGCTGGTGATCAGACCCTTCTGGCCAATTCTAAAAATGATCTACAATATTCAGTATAAAATTTGAGTAATAAACTATACTATGGCTTCTAGAGGAATGCAACCAACTAGAAGCAAGATATGCATTATGGAAAAAATTAATACTTTCAACTATTTATAATATAGTATATCTTACAAAAGACTAATGAATTTTAATGTAAAAATCGCAAATTTTGTAAAAATTACTATGAATTATGAACCACACCTTCAAACTCCGTTAATTTTTATAGACATACAAGAATACAAATTTATAAAACAACAGCCTGCTGTAGGCCTGTGTTCAAACTCATGTGGGTTATGTGGACAAAATGACATTGAGGCAGCTTTTTTTCCAAGTACTTGAGTTTCCCCTACGAATTCTCATTCCACCAACTGCTCCATAATCATCAATCATCCTACCACTGATGCTACATAGTCTCGACACTGATAGCATCCTTGGATATGTATATATATATATATATATATATATAT